AGCGATGGCGAGAAGTCAATGCACGAGAAATGCGGGTATCAGGTCGATGTTCGGCCGTCCTAAGCAAAGTGTTATGGCCATCAGTATAGTTTTTTTTTCTCCCTTGTTGTTTTGCTCTGCTTTGTTATGCATGTTACTCCTAGTCTTACATATAGGATATGTCTTCCTTGGATATCTTTGCCTCGATCATGTTTCTGTTATAGAAGAGTTTCTACTATCTTTGTATGTTGACTGTACATATAATTTGCCTTGTTCCGATACATGAGTTTGATGCATTTGAAACTCTAGTCTGCCACATCACATTGACTAACGATAATCGTGAAGTCGATGATCCTTCATCCTATATACCCGTTTCTGAAGTCCAAAAGTACTTACTTGAGTTTAGTGGAGTCCAGCAGGCGCGAAAAAAAGGCTTCAAGGTAAGCTGAACAGCGATATAAGATATAAACTGACTCAGGAAGGACAAGCAAAACAGTTCCAGAGGGTGTCTTGGAATCTTCAGATGTTCTGGAAGAAAACAGGTAGTATGCATGATCGAGACGAACATGGTAAGTACGATATATTCACTTTAAACCAGATAATCTTGACTCTTTTGGCTTGATCAAGGTCAGCTTGGAGTTTGCTACCTGCTAGTGTACACACGTACGTCTCAATCGCAAAGTCGTATGTTCTCAAATGTATCGTCTGGACTCTGTCTGAAGACCATAACAGAGAGGAAGGGAAGGAAGCTGAAGGCCGGATGACTCGCTAAACGGAACTTCGAGCTGTGAGAGTCTACTGGTCTCAATGATAAGAAGCAAGAATACTACGGTAGAAATGCGCGTTGTGAGAAGAGAGTGTGTATAATACCATAAAATTAGAATATAGGCTGCATTTTGTAGAAAATCCAAGAAATTCAAAGGTAATGCAGAAAAGAGAGCAGGCTCAGTGTAGATTCGACAGAAATGAAGACTGAAAACATACATGACAGAGTAGACGCGACAGTGGCAAACAAGAAAAACTCAAAGAACTCGTCCGTCAGTGCACTGTCTGATCATGTCATAGGTCACTCTTACTTTACATTCTTTGTCATCTCTTCTGGACACCAGACAGGAGTTTATAAAGACGACTTTTCACGGCGGGGTAATGGCGAAAAACCCCTGGTCCCAGACTAAGTATTGTAGGCGGATGTGCTTCCTGAATCAAACAGTGACAATGATCGACAATGATCGACATGATCGGCAGGTAGTTAAGTAACCGGGAACCTCTCCGGCAACTCAGAATAAAAGCTAGACGCTCAGTTTGTCGAGAGGTCAGCACGAAAGCTGGCACGCGACAGGCTGTCAGAAAGGTCTTCGCCCTCCCTAAAAAAGGACCTTGTTCAGACAAAAACGGGGCCAAGTAATGTTTGATTGTTTATAATCCAATGCTCTAGATGCATATTACAGTACATATAAGCATACAATATGTACTTGCTAATAAGTTTTTGTATGAGTTAAGCTGGCAGCATATTATAGGTAATGGTGAGTGATAACTCGAACGACGCGGCATCGGTTGCTACGCAGGCTGGAACCATCTTCCTTTTTTAGGGGGGCCGAAGATTTTTCTGATCCACCTGTACAATTCACCCTAGCGAGACACTGTATAAAACGCTCCTTGTAATCGTAAGGGATGTGCCTCAGTGAGCGTTCCCTAGCAATAAAGTAAGTAGGATGGTCCGTGCACACTGAATAACGAGATACGCACATCAGTTCTCGATGCAATTCTTTTACCCCTAATTCAACACGTAGGGTCCAACGAGAAGACCATAACATTTCTGCGTACACAGGCCATTCTACAGCATGTGGTGTGTGCTCGAGCAAGTAGAAGGGTATTTTGTAAAATCTTGTCAGCAAGGACCGTGTACCAAAGCACACCCTTGATCTCATAACATATTCTGCAATATAGCGGACGGCAAGGAAAGAGACATCCTCAGATCTTTGACGTACATCAGGACCAGTAAGGGATTTTATAAAATGACTGCAAACTTGCCTTTGTATTCTGGCTTCAAGATTTTGGAGTACACAAGTAAGGCGCGTCCTCAAAACTTGGAGCTCGGATCCCGGGAAAGCCATGTGATGTAACCCCAGGAGTTCTTTCCCCGACATATTGATATCGGTGTCGACGAGGGATATCAGCGCCTTGCGACTTGAGGAAAGTAGCTGATCGCAGTCTCCCAATTCTGCTTGATGCAACACAAAACCAACCATCTTGGCTGCATCGAGCTCTAGAAGCATCTTTCGAATATCGTCGTAAACTGCGAGGTCCAGGATTGCTATGAGTGCGAGCTCTTGGTTCGATGCATATTGACTCCTGTACAAAAACAAAACATGACTAGCACTTATAAGTTTATGATAAGAAAATCAGATACGAGCACACCTAACATATTTCAAAAGCTTTTTCACATCCTTCCGGCTCTTTCTATACTCTACAGTTCCTTGGATAGGTATTCGTTGTGCGTGTGTGGCGTAATAGCGTTTATAACATAGCATTTTTAAGCGCTTCCTGGCCGCTTCCAGCCCGTACCCATGCTTCTCCATGAACCGGCTCGCTGCCGCCTCCAGGCGTCGCCTGAGAAACATGAAGAGCTTTCCGAGCGTGCTCCCCGTTCCGGGGAGATTGTCAGCAGTCGCGGTAGAGCTAACGGACGACTCGGACAACATGGCCTCCACCTGGTTATAGATCCCATTCAGTTCGTCGTCAAGGGTATTTCGTGTTCGCCGTCGCCAGTTGAAGTCTGACATTTTGCGAGATTACACGTGCTGAGCGATAGCCTGGGGAACAAAGTAAGCGGAGGATCGGGCGAGGGACTAAGAGAAATCATACCGGCCTAAACCTGGGCGACGAGGCTGAGGTGGGGAATCGAGTAGAGAAAGAAAAAATGAACAAAAGACTTTGATTGAACGGGACCGCATTGCTTTTCTCGTGGGATACGTGTGCTGAATGCACATGGTGCATTTATAAACTTGAAAATTGCCTTTAAATGGACCTCGGGACAACGTACTTTCGCAAGGGCCAAGCGAGGAAGTTCGGAGTAGATAAATTCTGATCTCCGGTTCGTGTCGACAGCAGATTTTCCACAATCATCCAATATGAAATTAGACCACTTGCAAGTTCTTCATTACTCGAGTGTGTTGCAACAAACCTTTGGAAGATATCATCTATCCAGATTCTGCGAGCATATTGGTTTCGGTGTTTAACAAAGTGACTTTGAAGGTCGGTGTTTCCGGCTTTCATATAACGCCCGACGCTGCTTTTCGATAAAACCATCAACGTCCGACGCATCTTCATGAGCCCAGAAGAACCTAGGATCCAGTGCGAACAGCATTGAACCCCGTCGACCATATGGGTAAGGAAGGTTTAGGTATGAAATGTGCGTTCGCCAACGCACACTACATCGCTCAAGCGGGTGGGCTTTCGTAATAGAGCTTCGGATACACGGGCTGTTTTCGGTTGTTTTCACTGATGCTTGCACTGTGGCGGAAAGGCAAAGGAACCCTAACGGCCGACGGCGAAAGGCCTGAGGTTCCGTTTCGCCGTTATCGTCGTCTGCGTTTTAATAAACAACTGAAGCAGATCAAAACATCGAGAAGATGACCGTCGTCCGCCTGCTTGTCATCAACCCGAACTCGTCGAAGAGTATCACAGACGGGCTACAGGAGTCGCTCGACCCATGCACCCCTCCCGGCACACAGCTCGCTTACTTCACTGCACCTTCGCATGCGCCAGCAGCGATCAGTAATATAATTACAGCAAATCAGACTGCCACTGCATGCTATGAGTCGTTAGTAAATACCAAAGCCATCGATGAGTATGACGGCTTCCTGGTGTCCTGTTGTGAGTGCATACATGTATATTGATGTAATAGTTGCCTGTGCTGACCAGCTGCACAATCACTGCGCTAGTCTCCGATCACCCGCTGGTCCACATGCTGCGGGAGCATCTCGCGTCGATCAAATCGTCTAAGCCCGCTATTGGGATCTTTGAGGCAGGTGTCGTGCACGCCATGCTCGTCGGGCGTCGCTTTGGGGTCGTCTCAACTGGAACGGGCATGAAGAACACGCTCATAGCCGGTGTGCGTGCATTCATGGGTGCCAACTCCGAGCGCTTCGCGGGAGTCGTCACCAGCGGCCTCGGTGTCGTCGAGCTGCGCGAGGGCGATCGAAGCAGGGTCGAGGCGCTGATGAAGAGCACATCAGCGAAGGTGGCAGGAAATGGCGCAGATGTCCTGATTCTTGGGTGTGCTGGAATGGCGGGAATGGAAGAATTGGTGAAAGAGGGCGTTAGAGAAGCTGGTTTGGGAGAAGTGCAGGTTGTTGACGGAGCAAAAGCTGGTGTTGAGATCCTGGCTGGTCTGGCGAGAATTGGACGATCGTGAACATCCAAGGCATCTGTTTTTGCATCATTGACATTTCGTAAATATGTAGCTACCAAAACGCGAAGTAAGCGACAATTTGAAAAGACCTCTGACGATGCGACTCGAAAGATACAAAGCGCGACGCCCACGACGGACAACGGGTACAGTATACTACATATGGATGTACACCTCCGCTAGTCCTTTAGACACCCGCTTCTTTCTCAATCTCTCTGTGAAATTTTATATGCATGTTCAGCCAAGGCTTTCTACCTCTGTATATATCTCGAAAAGAAAATAATCGTCGATTCTTGAGAGCAGAAAATGTCCCAAAGTTAGCATTTCTTTAACATGATGCGATCAAAATCATTGACATTACTGACTGTTCTAAAAATTGCATGGAAATATGCAGCATAGGAAGCACTTCATTTGTCCCTTTGAGTTTAGTTATGAGTGGAGAACACAGAGCAGGGACGCGCGCCGTCAGTGGAATCCACCTGTCTACGCGGTGTGAAATCTAAATACATGTACTATTTTGGCGAAACCGTTTATAGCAAAGACTTCCTATAGCCACTGTAGCTTTACTATGTAACAATGTGATGGATTCAGAACGCAAAAAATTATCTAATGCCCCATGGCTCAGTTGGTTAGAGCGTGTGACTGTTAAATTCACGTAAAGTCCAAACGGAATCACAAGGTCCTGAGTTCAAGCCTCAGTGGGGCAGGAGTTTTTAAAAATACTTTTCCCCTACTTTTATCATCGTAACATGTCTGTCTTTTTCTTTTGTTCGCGCTAGAAGCCTTGTGTGTATCCAATCTAACATGACAATGTAATGTACAAACGCCTTGCTTCCTTTTCCGGTATACTGTCTTTTAATTGTCTACCAGCCTCGTTTGCTCAAACGTCCACCCTTCACGTTGTCATCACTGTTGTGTATTGTTAAGTCAAAGGAGGAGGAAAAGCCTTGGTAATCACTCACATGGTCAAACCAACCATAGCTTCACCCAAATCTTCAGAGACCTGGGGGGAGAATGTGAATCATGAACTTGTTCAACATGGAAGTCGCTTACCTCGGCCAGCAGCTTGGGATTGTTATAGTGCGTTACCTTGAAGAATGTGTTACCACGAGGAACTGAAAATATCTGCAATCAAGAGGGGAGAAATGACATACTGATTGAACAATAGCGCGAGCGCGCTTCGCAGGATCACCAGACTATTCGAGTTTTAAGGAAAAGCCAAAGTAAATATTACAACAGGTGGCTTACGTTGAATATTCCAGAACCAACAAAGACTAACGAGTTACTTGAGCGTCGGGTAAAAGAGGATTGATCCTATCACTCACCTCCATCACATCCAAGCTGCATCATGAGAGCAGCGTCGGCTGCAAGAGCAAGAATTCAATGACGTCTTTACATTAAGCGGCACTAGCACATACCTGGCGTCGCGATACCACCAGCGGCAAAGCTGACGACGGGCAGGCGTTTCAGCCGAGCAACTTCTTTTAGGAGGTGGAACGGCGCCGAAAGCTCCTTCGCAAATGCATACAGCTCCTCGTCATTCATGGCACTTGCCCTCCGGATATCGGCCGAAACAGCCCGCTGGTGCCTAACGGCCTCTACAATGTTTCCCGTACCGGCCTCCCCCTTCGTGCGAATGAATGCTGCACCCTCAGAGATGCGCCGCAGAGCCTCGCCGAGGTTTTTGGCCCCGCATACAAAGGGGACCTTGAACGTGTGTTTGTTTATGTGGTGCTGCTCGTCGGCCGGGGTCAGCACTTCAGACTCGTCAATGTAGTCCACGCCAACGGCTTGGATAATCTGCAGAAATAGTGTCAGTTAAAATTGCAATCCATTGGATCAGAATGCTTGAGCACAAACCTGTGCCTCGACGAAATGACCTATGCGGACTTTCGCCATTACGGGTATTGTAACAGCGTCAATAATGTCTTTGATCATTTTCGGATCACTCTGCAGATTGTAAGCTAAAAATGCCCAAGGGAGTACACAATCTCAACGCACCATACGGGCAACGCCTCCTTCCTTCCTTATGTCTGCTGGGACTCGCTCCAAGGCCATGACGGCACATGCACCCGCTTCCTCTGCTAAGCGAGCCTTCATACACTTCAACAATCTGTATATAGAAATATGCACACATTCCACATACCTGCTCAACGTTGGTGACATCCATGATGACTCCACCCTTCAAATGACTCGTCAAGTAAATCCACGACAGACATTGCACGAGATGAATTCGTTACCTTCAACATCTGCGCCAGACCAGATTTGACCTATTTTGCGCTAGCATAAGTACCACACGCACAATTTTCAACGAGGCACCTCGCGCTCACCCCAAAGGTGCCCAGGTTGTTTCCTCCGGCGCTAGTTGCCGAGCGAGTAGGTGCATTTGCGTGCGCCACGCCGGTTCCCCCGCCAGTCTGAGAGGCGGGCGTTGAAGCTCCTGAGGGAGCATTTAAGTTACTCATAATAAAGTTGTAGACAGTATAGTGCGAGTGTGAGTCAGAAACGGAAGAAAAGCGGGAGAGGGAGAAAGAGAATTTGCGTGTATGCACACTTCCAGAATCCGTGTTCTACTTACGTGATGTTTATGTCCTTCCACGTGCCCGCGTCCCGCACGCGCCTAATTTTTAGGGATTTGCGTCGTTTGTGCGCCCCCGCCGTTTTCTTCGCCAATACGCTGCCCGCCGCCAACAATGTTGAGCGCAACACGGAGGTCCGTGCTATCCAAAAACCTGCGCTACTCTGCCCTCGCGTCGACTTCGAAAAGAGCATACAGCGCGAAGCAACCCTCTCCTCAACCAGAAGAAAAATCCTCCGGTGCCTCGGAAAAAGCTTACGAATATAAGAAACCGACGCCGCCGCCGGAAACATGGCTAGCGCAGTATCTCAGGCGCTCGCCGAGAGCTCTCAATGTCTTCCAGTCGGTTACTGGCGCGCTGGGTATGGGCAATCCGAGGCAGGTCGCTGGGCGAATATCCTTCCATTATTACCAGAACGCTTGCGCGGTCAGAGAAGTCGAGGAGCGAGACTTCTGGCATCAAGGTACGCCTACGAGGGATGAGTGGCTATAGAAAAACTGCTTATTCGCGACACAAGAATGCCGCCTTCCGCCAACATTCCAGACATGGTTCACAGTAACTAATCTCCATGTCTGGCTGCTCACTGTCCGCTTCCGCGCATTACCCTCTCCCTACGGAGAGAATTTCGTTCAGGGTACGCGTTGCTTATGTCTGACCGCTATTGTACCGTCTCAATCAGATAACCAGGTCTCGTCGACCATTTCTTCCTCGACGTCGAGGACCGCATCCGCCAGGCGCTCTCGCAAAAAGCGCCTGAGCGACTCGTCTCGCGGCAAATGAAGATCCTGCGCGAGCAGTGGGCGGGGCTCAACCTCGCGCTCGACTACGCGCTGGGCCTCTCGTCGCCGTACGCAGCGTCCGTGTCCGCGCTAAAAAGCGGCGACGGCGACGCGGAGATGGCCGCCGCAGTCTGGCGCAACTTCCTCGGCGCGCGCGGCGCGAACGGGATTGACGACCCAGGACCGGGGCGCGTGCGCCACGCGGTGAACATCTCGGGCGAGTATGGGAAGGAGAAGCTCTCGAAGGAGAAGCCGGAGGACAGCCTGCGAAAGCTCGAGGAGACGGACGACGGCTCTGGCGTGTATGACTTCGTCGGCAAGGACGTCCGGCTCTATGTGCGCTATCCAGAGCTGATGTACACGCTCGTAAAGTACATCCGCAAGGAACTTGTACGGCTGGAGGGCATTTCTGATGCTCAGATCATGAAGGGAGAAGGTGTTGGGAAGTTTGGGAAGGTCGCTGACAGCAATGTTTAGTTTCTGTTTTATATTTTATTCTTGCTTTTATATTATAAATCCACAACCCCCGGCATCGAAACAAAAAACGACATAATATTGATACCCATGTATATGGTCAATCTGTTCATATCCTTTGGACGTCTAGACGTAATGTACACAAAAATTTCATAGCAAATGTGAGTGTGTTCAAAGCAATCAATGACGAGAGAAGAAAATGGAGAGAAGAAACGTTCGTTGGGGAATGGATGATAAGCAAACAAATAGTATTCAAAAGGAAAAAAAAGGAGCACACATAGGTAAAGCAAGAACAGAAGAAAGAAAGAAAAAAAAACCAACAAATTCACGGTTTCCAGGTAGGCTTTCCCTTCGCCTTCAGCGACCCCACGCTGCCCATTCTCCGCAACTCCGCAACACGCGGCGGGACCGCCCGTATATCTCCCTTGTCTTTTTGCTCGAACTCCTTCACGAGGTCCCTGACGCTCGACGTGCTGGAGCGCCGCGAGGCGGTCTTCTCCACCGGCTTCGGAGGCGGCGTAGGGACGTGCTGCAGCTCGATGAGCCGTTGCGGCTTTGTCTTGCGCGGGATCTTGGTCGGCTGAGGCAGAGGCGCAGGCTGCAGTTCGACTTGCTCTTTGGGATGCGGGATCTTGGGCGGTGGTTGCTTGGCGGGCGTTTCGACAGGCGGGCGAAGCTTGTTCAGGACGTCCGGAGGAGGGACCGGCAGACCAGGGACCAACGGGCCCAACCGCTTCTCCTCCTTCTTGAACATACCCGGCTTCAGCCATGAACCGATGAACTTCATCGACCGTTTCACGGCCGACATTGAACGCTCCCGCGTTTCCCGCTCGCGTGTCTCCCGCTCCCGCATGCGCGCGGTGTTCGGAGTCAACATAGTTTCGATTTCAAAAGCGACAGATTCGTCATCGCTATCGTCGTCCTGCTGCTCTCGGGTCGGCGTCTCGAAACCAAAAAGCCCGAGAGCTGTCTTTGCCTCAGGCGTTCCAGGTGCAGACGAAGTCACTTCTTCCCGCAGACGCGAATGTCTCGCAGGCATGGTCGACGGGGCATAAGGGACCTTGAAGAATGGCTCTGAAGAGGGAGGAGGCAGAGACGCCATTTTGCTCAACGAATCAGTCGTATCGAAGAGCCGAACACGCTCGTTAGCTATAGGCGTGAAGTCGGGGACGATCATGCTCGACGTAGGGCTCAAGGTCGAGAAACGCGAAGGAGTGGAGCGCCGTGACGGAGTGGAGAACCGCGAGGATACATCTGGAGTCGGAGGTGCGCCTTGGCCGGAGCGCTGACGCTTGCAAAGTGCGCGCGCCCTGCTCAAGATCTTCTCCCTAAGAAAATATTTTGAGCTCGAGTAAATCGGCATCGGCTTTGAAATACAACTTACTGCGTCCAAGACGGTCCATGGCTGTCAACAATCTCAATCCCTCCCATGAGGTCTGTGAATCTCTCTGCGACATCCGAGAGCGAAACGTCATCGACAGGAGCGAGAGACTCGCCCGCGAGACCTCGCTCCTGGGCGAGCTCATATCGCTCGTCCGTGAAGCAGCTATCCAGCAGTTTCCAATCTGCTTTTGTCCAGTCCCGTGGGCCGGAGACAATGGGAAGTTCATACTGATACTGTCGATTCTTCGTCGGAGTTCCGGCGACACTGGAAGCGACGCTCCCGGACCGACTTCTAGCTGGCGAGCTCCTCAATTCTTCCGTGGCCCTATCGAGAAGTGCAACGTTCGCGGTCAGGTGTTCTTCTCCCGCCAGGCCAGCGATCGTGCGTCTTCTCCACAATTTCTGCGGAGTGCTGTAGGGCTTCGAAACTTTTGCGGCAGCAGTCTGTCGCCGCCTGAGCCTCCGTGCGACCATATCGTAATCGTGCTGGAA